TGGGTTGCAAATTCAAGACCGAATTATAAGTATTGTTTTAGACATTGATTGACTAAGTGAGGCGAGATCATACGGAAGCAAACTGCTATATATATATATATATATATATATATACCAACCTTCTGAATCTTTTGAGCTGCTTCTGCACCTGTTTGCACACAAATGGCTTTCTCCAAAGCTGCCAATAATCTAGAAGCACGAGCTCTAGCATCATCAATGCTAGTAGCACTCATCATCTCCCTCACAAACAAATCAACCCAATGAACACCGTCAATTGGAATGTTACCTTGGACGGTATGATCTTCAGTAGGCATTGCCACTCCATTAGTTGGCCATGCACCTGCCAATTTTTTAAGAGCTTATCAGGACACTGCATCAAAACAATATAAAAACTGCAATATTCAAGTCCTATTTAAATCAGCCAATCATAACATGAACACGGCTTAAACATAGCAGGGATATTCTCATGGAACAACCCCGTAATGTTCAGCCTTTTCTATAGTTTGAAAACAACCCCGTAATCTTAATTATTTAATAGATCTTTCTACTTAATGGTTTCTTACATCATTTGGTGACGGGAGAAACTTGATTTAGAGGTCATTATATATCTAAATACACAGAATCAAAAGGAGAAAGTAATTATTGATCCCAGACAAGTAAATTAATCTCCACCCCTTCTCTTCCAGTTGCGATAAGCAGCAGTTATTCCTCAGGAGGAATGAGTAATATTCTTGCACTAGCGTTAGATTTGCAATCAGTAGGAAAATTATTAAATTCTAAATGTTAACAATTAAAATATACTACTTAAGAAGTAATACTGCAATAATCATTGCATAACAAGAAAATTAATGAATGCAAAAGACACCACCCATGCTACGTAAAACTTACCACTCTGCATATTTGCATTTACTTCAACATTACCACAGGACTTCCCCTGCCGCATCTCATTCAAGCATTTGTTAGCAGCATCCAAGTTGTAGCCACATTCTTCTAAAGCCTTCTCAAGAAGCTGAAAGTAAAATAGATATACTAAATAAAATTAAAATTTGGTCAAAAGAAGGGTGAGAGCATTCTAATTTTAACTGATTATTAAAGTGCTAAACAAGTAAACAATCAGGAAGGATAGTATAGGCTAAAGTTTGCTATACATCATAATAAAAACAAACAAAAGAAGTAGCAATCAAACTAATGAAGTGGGTATCAATTAAGAATTAAACTTCTACCAATATGTTTTCATTCGCCATTGGACAAGATAAAGGAATACTAGGGGGCAACCCCAACCAAGTTCAACTCCCAGCAGGAGTTGCCTATTGGCCTTCTTGGTTTGAGCCGGTCAGCTATGGGCAGCCAATGCTGGTTTACCTTCTTGTGGTCCTTTGCCGTATAGGGTCAAAGGCAGGGTTAAAGGGTACACACCATCAAATAGTGGTTGCGGGGTTTCTCTCGTCACTCAAGGAATACCCTTTGAGACACAAAAAGGTACAAACTTTTCAATTTTCATGAATCAAAAGGAGACAACATGGACTAAATGGATTCATAACATCTACCCTCAGACTGCATATGAATCAAAGCTACATAAAATGAACTGAAAATGATTAATAACACATACTTGGAACAATTTTATCATAGCTGTTTTGAGTAAATTGCCTTTTACATCATTCCCCAAAATTCACAGCAACAACAGATTTAATCCCAATATCTTATATAGAATGAACACAGCAAAAAAACCAATTGTGTAGAGGTTAAGACCCTATACAACTGCAAAATCAATCCACTTCCAAATCTAAATTGAAAATTTGCTGTCACCAAATAAATTTTGCCTATTTTATCAGAATAATTGATACTACTGAGAAATTTTTATACTTCATATCTTCAAAATAATTCAAAAAGGTTACAAATAATGTTAACGAATAATAAGCATCCAGGTTCCAGATCAATCAAGCCAGATTAAAAACATGATTTTGGAGAAACCCTAAACACTAACATAAAAGAACAAAATTCAGTAGCCACATAAGCTGACTAAAGACAGAAGCTTTATTACCTGAGTGTCGAAATCAGGAAACTGGGCTCTCAGCTGATCAATGAGGCTCTGCGACGGCGGCGGCGGAGAAACCGGGAACCGGACCGGAGAGGTGGAGGACGAGCAACGAAGCTTCTTTGCACTCGGCGGCGACGCTGAGCCTGAGTTAGGTGCCGGAATTTCATCAAAGTATGATCTCTTGCCGCATACTACAGCCGACATTTTCAATGTTCTTCCGTTCTGTTTATATTATTTTAAAAGTATAATTTTTTTTAAAAAAATTAATCCGCCGTCCCCTTCAATCTGGGTTTCAGATCAATTCGATTAAATGCAGAGTTCTCTCTCGTTGTTTTGCGAGAGAAGAAAAGAAAAGAATGTCTTGCGAGTGGCGATCAAATTTTTAGGGTTTTAAAGTCCGTTGCTTTTGCTTGCGGGTCTACAGCTCCGTTTCTTGTTGGTATAGTTTTGGTCTTGGGAAGGAATTGGGATCCATGTGGTGGAGCTCATTTTATAATGGAGACTCAGACACAGTACGGGATTGTTGATGGTGACGGGGAAGGTGGAACACGCGCAGCATTGCGCGCGTTCGAAGTGTTCCTTCAATCGGGGAAGAGGTTTCCTCGGTCCAAAGCCACGTAGGCGCATGTCATCTCTATCGACACAAGAAAATTATCCATTAAAAAAAAAACAAAATATTTTTATTATGGAATACTTGGTAAATAATTGTTAGCTGATTTAGTTAGTGGGTTTGGCTAATGGATAACATTAGCTTGTTATAGAAAAATATTTGATAAATTAATTGTTAGCTGATAACTAATCACATACAAAATAACTTTCTCAAAAAATTTATCGAAAAAACTGTTTTAAGTAGTTTTTTTTTTTTTTTTTTTTTTTTTTTTTTTTAATTTTAGTGTTTTGGAGCAATAAATTATTACAAAAAACTAATTAATCAAACACTTATATTGACTATTTAATCAAGTCAAACAGTTAATAGTGGCCAAATAAGTCAAAATTGACTAATAAGCTAACTACGTTACCAAACAGGGCCATAATTATTCACAGTTAATTTTATCATTTTATTTTTTTTTAATTTATTGGAGTGGGAAAACCCAAGGATCGAACATATACACAGTTAGTATGCATTATTTACAAAACGCCAGACTGGGAGGCCAATAATATCATCTTCCAACAGGCCAAGTATTTCTTCTAGAGGGTTTGCGAAAACATGCAAGCCCTTAGGATAGTGTCTGGAGAGCTTAGCGAGGGAGTCCGCTACCTGGTTCTGTGTCCCATTTAAGCAGATGCCACTTTCTTTCCCATCCTTGCCCCCTCCCCCCCCCCCCCCCCCCTTGGAAATTGCAGATAAGCTTTTCAATTGATGAAATCACCCCAGCCAGCAAGAGAGTTGTTTGCATAGTGTAATATGGAACAGAGGTTAGCACTGACTATGCCATAATCTGCCTGCCAGCAAGAGAAAGAGTTTTGGACTTCCATCCAATTAACTTTGCTTTAATTTTGTCAATGATGCCAGCAAAGGACTATCTTTTAAGCCTTCTATGGATTGAGGGAATTCCAAGGTATTTGCCTAAATCTAACACACTTGGGATCCCCATGGTGTCTGTGATTTCCTGCTGCAGACTTGGGGGTGTATTCTTTGAGAAAAAGATCGAGGATTTGTTGAAGCTGACCCTCTGACCAGAGGTCGTGCAGAAGGTGTCTAAACAGTGTTTCATCTCCGCTGCTTGTTCTATCGTAGCCTCGCCAAACAATACTAGATCGTCTGCAAAAAAGAGATGTGAAATATAAGGTCCATGTCTTGAAATTTTAATTCTTTTCCAACGACCACAGTTTATAGATTCCTCAATAATGTGGTTGAGTCTTTCAATACACAATACAAATAATAGCGGGGATATAAGGTCTCCTTGTCTAATTCCACATTTTGGATTGAACCAACCAGTTTACTACCCATTCCACATCACTGCTAGCCTTGGGGAGGTTATGCAGCTCATTATATTTCTTCTCCATATATGATTGAATCCAATATCTTGGAGCGTCTCATCAATAAAGCTCCATAAAACTCTGTCTTAGGTTTCTTCTAGATCTACCTTTACAACCATCCAACCCATTGAACCTTTCATGCACTTTATTGAACTCAATACTTCCTGGTAGACAAAGACATTGTCTGTAAGAGAAAATTTCAATTTTGGTCATATGACTATAGGGGCTTTGTTAATTTCAGCACATGACTTTCAAAAGTACCAATTTAGTACCTTGATTATGCAATTTTTATCAATTTTAGTCACTCCGGTCAAATTGCCGGCTAAATTTCGTCGGAAAATTTTAACAGTTAAAATAATGAGGGTATTTTAGTCATTTCACATCTCTTTCCTTCTTCCCCGGCGAATTCATCTTTTTCGGCGAATCCGAGGATGAGGTGCGCTGCTGCGATGCTTTCAACATTATCCAAAAAGAGAAGTATTTATTCAACATTATCCAAAAAGAGAAGTATTTATTCAACATCAATTTTAGCATAATGTTGTTATAGAGAAGTTTTAGAATAAATAGGCACCAGCATCAGTTTTAGCATTTCGCTTTCTTCTTTGAGCAAGCCTTTTTTTTGGTCGGAAAAGCTTTCAACCGGAATTTGGGCAGGAGGTGCGTTGGACGAGCACAAAGAGAAGTGCAGTTCGAAGATTTCTAGGTCCACCGATATCTCAAGCTCCCCTTACACAAACGGTCAGATGTTTTCAATCGGAATTTTGGCCATCTGAACCCTAATAAATCGCCGGCGACGGCTTGGACGAATGAGGTCATTCAAGTATGCTTTGGAAGGTGTGCTGCTGCGACGGATTCGTCGGAAAAAATGAATTTGCCGGAGAAGAAGGAAGAGGTGTGAAATGACTAAACTATCCTCATTATTTTAACTGTTAAAATTTTCCGGCAAAATTTGACCGGAGTGACCAAAATTGATAAAAATTACATAGTCAAGGTATTAAATTGACACTTTTGAATGTCAGGTGCTGTAATTAACAAAGCCCCTATAGTCATATGACCAAAATTGAAATTTTCTCTTGTCTGTAATCAGTCGGCCTGGTGTGAAGCTTGTCTGGTACTGGCCAATTAATTTGTCCAATATTCCTCTGAGCCTAATAGTCATTGTTTTTGTTATGAGTTTATAAGTTACGGTGCAAAGGCCTATAGGCCGAAGCTGCATCACCGTTTCTGGACTTAACACCTTGCGAATTAATGATATTAGTGTGTCATTGCAACCTATAGGAAGTTTACTAGTTTCAAAAAATTTCTGAGCATACTTGAGGAGAGATTTGCCAACTATGCTCCAAATTTTTGGTAAAAACTAGCACTAAAGCCATCTGGCCCTGGCGTCTTACATGGTGCCATGTCAAACAGAGCATGTTTAATTTCTTCGAGTCGGAAAGGTGCATTTATCTTCAGCCAGTCAACTTTTGATAGAGTAAGTAAATGTCATTGAGGAAGCGGTTGGGAGGCACTAGGTGTCTCTTCTGAGAAAAGCTTCACAAAATACTGTTGGACATGGTCTTTTATTTGATCCTCTGCCGTAATCTAATGGTCGTTCTCGCCTTTCAGAGCCTTGATTCTTACTTTATTGTTCTTCACTGAGGTGGCAGCATGGTAGAAACGCGTGTTACTATCCCCGAAAGCGATCCAATCCTCTCTTGAACGCTGGAACCAAATCAGTTCTTCTTGGTAGAGTGTTTCATCTAATTCCAAACGTAGATTTCTTTCGAGTCTGATTAGGTCTGAGCGAGCACAATTAGCCAGGCTACACTAGACTCCACTTATCCTTGCTAGCAGACGATTCTTCCTTTAGAAGATGTTACCAAAGATATTCCTATTCTAATCTGATAGAGCTTTCGCCCAACCGACTTATATTTGATTCAATATCTTCATCTTTGTTCTAGATTTGTTGTACAAATGGCTAAAAATTAGGATGAGTGGTCCATGCGATATTAAATATGAAGCTAGAACTCCTTGTGTGTGCTTGATTCGATTCAGTTCTTATGAGTAGGGGAGAGTGGTCCGATCCTATCATTGGCAAGTGTTCAATCGTGACATCTGGAAATTTCAGTTTCCAATCAATATTACTGAGAGCTCTGTCGAGGCGTGCTCCCCTGAAAGTTAAAGTGTCAACACCTCTCATCCACGTAAACTTTGCGCTTGTGAATCCTAAGTCTGCCAAACCTCCCCGGAATATCCATTCGTTGAAATCCGAACACCTAGAAGAGGAGAAATTATTTGAATTGCTCACTTCTTCATGACATGCGGCCGAGTTAAAATCTCGAGCCACCAGCCATGGTTGAGGCAATTGGCAGGATAAATCCGAGAACAAATTCCTTCGCAAGTAATGATTCAGGCTGTCATAGACAACTGAAAACAGCCATGAACCTGAGGTCATGTTACTTACCTGCAAAGTGATGAACTGAGGGTGAGTACATAGAATATCAATATTCAAAGAATTTTTCCAAAGGATCTAGATTTCGCCGGAGAAGCCTACGACTTCCACTTTGACCCATTCGTCAAAGCCAAAACGGGTACAGATCTTATTGGCTTGGTTGCCGAATACCTTCGATTCAAGCAAACAAACAAACGAAGGAGGATAATCACAAGTAAATTGTTTCAGGGTGCGCCTGAATAGATTTGAGGCCGCACCCTAGCAATTCCTTACTAAACAGATCATATTAACAAAAAAAAAAAAAGGAAGGAAAACGCTTAATAGCACTGGGGACTAGACGTTTTAGGGCCATATTGGCCAGTATGATCAGCAGCTTCGCCCATGGCTTCATCCAGAGGATCAGCCATGTGAGTGAAGGTACGTGCCATATCAGGATGATTTTCCTTAAAGACATTCTCAAGTCCTGCTATGGTAGGGGACTCAAACTGCATTTTCGCATGGTACACCACCATGCTAGCTATGTTCTGTCCTTGATTCGAGCCTCGGACAACTGTATGTTCCACTTCTGCAGCTGCGCGATTGGGTGGACCTCCTCTTCCAAGTGTACCCCTTGCTCCCCCTAGTATGGCTGCTTGCGGATAGCCAACGGGACCAAACTAGACTCCGATCGTTTGGTTGTATTCTGCGTTTGTCTGTTCGATATGAAACTGTGTATTAGGGTGCCCAGTTCTTATCATAGGAAGGGTATTTGCTGGCTGTGGCACAACCATGGCTCTAGGGGTTGCGACTTGGTCTTGGTTCATTACATCCACTTCAAAGCCATCAAGGGGGAAAAAATCAGGATTGTACACCCACACATTTAAGAATATGACCATTGTTTCTTGGACTAGTCTGCCTTCTAGCTTGAGGGAGACCCGAAACTAGATTCTGGACATGATTCTGCCTAGCTTCAGGGGGGCCAGTAGATGGTTGCACATTCTGGACACGATTCCTCCTATCTTTACGGGTGACAAGCATCCATGAGCCGTATTTCTTCGAGACACATTGG